CTTGCAGCGAGGTGCCGGCATTGTTGGGAGCAGATGGGTGGTTAAGGGCTCTCCAGTCCTCACGTGCTCTTTCAAAGGCAGAAACCTCTGCTGCTGAGAAACCTGGCCCAGCGAGATGCTAGAAATAAAGAAATAGAAAGATTTAGGAAAAAAATCACAGCTCAGGGCCTGTCTGGATCACCAGTTGACTTTGTAGAAAATTTTGTTTTTGCTAAAAATCTCAGGCTTGCAGTTCTGGACCAGCAGGAGCGGATGGCAAACGGGAATGTCCAAGCACGGCGCTGTGGTGTTTGCACTCCCCTCAGGATGAGCCTGGACCTTATTCCTGGTCACTGGTCAGCAGACCAAGAGAAACTGCTGCCAGGAGAGAGCTGAGCTCAGTGCTGCTGCTGCTGCCTTCCTATTACTGTGCCATGAGCCACCATGACCCCTTAGATACTGTGTCAGCTCCCTGAGGAGCCGGGCTGGAACCGCTGCTGTTCTTCAAAAGCAGTTGGAGACAGTTCAGGAGCAGAATCTTGGAGTTTGGGCTGATTGAATGCCCCTGTAGAGCCTCTATTCAATCTCCTACATAGGGGCTGCCATCAGGAAGATGAGGTATCTGCTGCTTATGTGGTTCCTGAATAACGAGTCCTTTCTCCAGGACTAGGATCCTAGCGAAGGGTGATGTTGCCTCCCACTTAGAGAGGAAAAGAAGTCGGGACGGATCAAGAGAAGGTGTGAGGAGGACCTTGGAGCTGAGCTTCCTCAGGCAGGCAGGGATAGTCCTTTCAAACTGTGCCTGCTGGGATGTGTCGTTTGTTTTTCCAGGGATTTTTTGGTTTGTTTTCTTTCCTGATCACCACTAACCTGGACTTCAGCAGTGCTTATTGTCTTGTAAGATGCTGACCCAGGCAGCTCGTCCTGGGTCTGCTAAATCCCATGGCAAAAACTTCTTCCCGAGCTCAGCAGAAGCCCTGCAGTTAAAGTTGGTGAAATGGTGTCCCGTGGAGCGTGTGCTCCTCTTGCACCCAGGCTGCCAGTTACGATGTTTGCAGAGTTTCTTCTTTTGTTCTGCTACAGCTCTTCGTTCTCCAGCGTCAGGCAGGAGCTTAGTGGTTTGTGACACGGCTCCTAGCTGTGAAGTTGTCCCTGTTTCCTCTGAGGACATAAGTGACAGTATGTTCAGGCAAGGCTGGAGGGGCACTTTCCCCTTTAAACTGCTCCTAGGACTCTGCCTGGAGAGTTTTGAGGATGAGAAATGTTGTTTTGCAGAAACTGGGGCTAACAGCCCCCTTCTCCTTAGCCTGCTGGATTATTTTTTGCCTAATTATTTATTTGAAAAGTGAATGAGATCCAAGAAGCGAGACCTGGCTGTGTATTTTATTGGGGATTAGGAAGCTGTTGCAGACTGCTTTTCTATTTCTATATTGTGGGTCCAGTTCAGTACTTCAGGATCTTGCTGAAAGGCAAGCTGAATTGTACAGAATATATTGGGGCAGTGTGTTGACCTCTCCATGCTGTTTTATAAGTGTGTGCATTACACAGAGGTAGGTGGAAGTGATTATCCTGCACATGGGACTACAAAATCTTAAGATGAAAACTAGAGGGAGTTCCGAGTTGTCAACTCTTAAGGCATTTGGAGATTTTGAAGCTCCAGGTCGTGGAGTCTGTGATTACAAAAGACACCAATCTTTCAATAAAGGCATAAATAATCCTTGAGTTTACACTTGCAGGCTGGGAAGTGTGACTCACCAAAATAGTTTGTTTGCAGCTGACCAGCATGACTGGGGGGTTTGTCTCATTTGTGGATGCAGGTGGGGACTCGCATAGCACAAGCAGGAGGCTGGAAGGAGGAGGCAGCTCATTCCATAAAAAAGACTGTTTCCTGTCTAGGCTCTTGAAAGTCCGTTGTTTTAACTGGCCTTTTCTGCAGGTATAAAAGGGACCAGAGACACTCGGCATTTCTTAGCTCGGCACAGTCGCTGCTTCCCCCTTTGCCTTGCAGATTTCCCATGGCCCTAGTAAACGCTGCCTTTCCCTTCCTTCCCTCTCAATCTTTGGCTCTTGGCTGCTGTTTCATTTTCTTTTGATATTCCCACTTACCACTTGGAGATTTTAAATCCCTCAGGGCAGGCTTTAGACCCACAGCTTCTGTCCAGAAAGTCTGTGCGAGAGGCTGCACAGATGTCACAACAACCCCTTTCTCTCGCACGTCTCCTCTTTGTTCTGAGCCCAGACAAACTGCCAAGCTCTGGATGGCTTTTGTTCTAGTGCACGATGCCACCGCAACCTGCAAATCCCGCAGGTATGAAGGACAGGGCTAGGAGGAGCCGGGAGTCTGGAATGTAGTTGTCAAGTAGGTAAGAAACAGGAGCTGCTCTGCTGCTTATTAAAGCAAGAGCTTTAATAGCCAAATGAAAAAGCTTCCACAGCCCACAGACAGCTTTTCTCACCTAATGATGGTGCAGCCGCTGCCTTGCAGAGAGCTGCGTTTGGAAGGGCTGCGAACAGCCCCCTGGCAAGGGGCTCTTGGTGGGATAATGAGCTGGGACCTCATGGTCATTCCCTGCCAGGAGGCCAGCACTAAAACCCCCTGTGGGCAGCGGTGCTGGGGCTGGTTCAGGGCTGGGGCAGGCGGCAGAGAAGGCCCGGGGGAAACCCTTGTAGCTTGTTAGATTTATGGGGCAGCCTCATCAAGGCCTTTGGAGGCCTTTGGCCTCCATGTTTTTTACATTAAATTTCAAGAGGAAAAGGAGAGAAGTAAACGCGTTCCTGTTGCTCAGCCAGGAAAGGATGTTTCTGGAGCAGGAAATCACTCGGCTTGGAAGTGCAAGGCAGGCAGCTCCCAGCACACGGAGCAGCGTTCCCGTTGGGATACAGCCTGCCAGGTGACAGGCACAGGCGTTGCACACGCAGACACACTGTTCTGAGCTGGTGCTGTTGTGCTGAGGACTGGCTGTCTCATCACCCGAGTGTTGTGAGACTGACTGTGCTGAAGGCTATAAAACACTTTGGATAACTTGAAGGGAAGGCAGCTATAAAACAGCTTTATATAATTCCTTTATTGACCTAAACTAAATCTCAGCCCTGGTCGCCAGGGACAAATGCTGGCAACTTATTGGATTCTATCATCAGTTTTTTTGCAGTGTGTTAAAGACCATGAAATGATGGGAATGCAGTGGCCGAGTGTAATGTCTCATTCTTATATCCAGAGCCGTCCTGGCTTTATCCCAGGAGCTTTTTCTTTTGTGTTGCTGAGACTGTAGATACAGGAAAAAAAATGAGTTACACTTGGAATGTCTTTAGGCAGAGAGGGCTGCTCATTTTTATTCTCTGGTTTCACTGCCTTGTGTTTTGTGATAGGAAAAGGAAGGAGAGTTTATTCTCAGCCCATGCATTGAGGGTGTGGTTAAAGTAGCCCCAATCTGGAGTTAATTTATTCCCTTTTGAAATGAATAAATTCCAGGGCTGAAGAAAATACGCTCTTTGTTGGGAGGACATTGTGCCTATGACATTAGCAGGACAAAACGTCTAATTATCTTGTTGGGACCCATTTGGGCCTGGCTGCTTAGGGAGATGACTGATATCATTGTGCCGGGGCTCTGAATTGGGCTGCGTGATGCCAGGAGCCCTCCCAGCCCCTCCTACACAACAGGCAGGAGCGACCGGGCCACTGAAATGCAAAAAGGAAGGTGGTGTTTAATGTCTTGCAAAATTCTTCCTGCACAGATGTGAGTCAGGTGGGTTGGAGAGAGCTGCAGAGAACTACAGTGTCAGCAGGCAACAAATGTGAGGGGAAGGTGCTCTGCATGCTCCCCAAACCCGCAGGGATCCGCTCAGCAGAGCCAGGTATCTGGGTCAGGAGTGAAGGGAATGAGCCCAGTCCATTGCTCCTTTGGCAGGTGCGCTCAGCACCCTGAATACCCTTAAATTCCCTAAAATTCCCTTACCTGCCTTAATCCCTGCATCAGCTGCACAGGAGCCTGAGCCTCTGGGCTTTAGCACAATGTGTTTGTTAAATAAGGATATTAACCGAGAAGGGAGGAATAGATCCAATCATAACAGAGGAGATGACTGGTGCTGAGGATGCATTAATATTTTTTTCTTCTGCTGTAATGTTCTTTTTATCTTCTTTGGCAGGTTCTGTTGTTAACTTATATTCAGGTGAGTGACATCTTCGTATCTACCTGTTTTTTTGTGATTGAGGGAAAAATGAGAAAAAAAATCCCCAATTTCCATGATATACAATGGGAATTTCATGGCTGATTTTAATAGGCATGGGCTAAGTATGCCATGAGCAGGTGTCTGATATAACAGGAGGTTGGGAGTAGGAAGTGTAGGTAGTCAAGTCACCTTTAGGGTCTCGATAACAGATGTTTGGCCTTGTTTTCACTGCATGAAATGAGTGTTTTTATTGACTTCCTACTGTACTTCTCCCTGACAAAGGCCCGTGTTGGTCTCCAAAGTTATTTTCCTTTGGGTGCGAGCTGTGCTGAGGTTCTCGAGCAGCAGGGTCCTGCCGCAGTGCCTCCTTCCCATGCCCTTCATCTCCCAACCCGCGTTTCTTTCCTCGTCCCGGCTCTCAGTCCCCGCGGATGCCTCCAACCCGGAGAGCGTCGTGGTGTCCGTGCTGAACGTGAGCGCCGCGCTGGCCTGGCAGGCCGTGCTGCCCTGCAAGAGCTACCGCATGGTGTGGACGCAGGACCGCCTCAACGACCGCCAGCGCGTCGTGCACTGGGACCTCTACAGCAGCTACTACGGGGACAACAAGGTGGAGAGGCTCTGCGACATGTACTCGGCCGGCAAGCAGCGTGTCTACAGCTCCTACAACAAGGGCCGGATATTTATGCCCCAGAACGCATTCACGGATGGCAACTTCTCGCTGGTTATCAAAGGTACCAAGCAATATCCCTTTTTGTCTTGCGTCCTGTAGAGAGGAAGCTTTATGACTAAGTGAGCTCCGTGTTCCAGTGCAGGTAGCTGTTTTTCAGAGTGTTTTTCCCTCCCCAAAATCAGCATATCTGCAGCACTGGCAGCAATGTTTTTTTTCTCCTTTGGAATAATCGTGTTTTCAAAAACGAGCTAATAACAGTTCATTGCCTGAAAGCCACTTGGGCTCTTTGTGGACCTCTGACTGTGTCTGAACTGTGAATTCAAGGGTACCATTTTGCCTTAGCTAAACCATTTTTTTTAGCTAAACTTCAAACAACTTTTTTCTTCCTTCTGTTAATATAAATATGTACCAAGCAAGAGTAAGTAAACTGGATGAGATATAATATTGTCAGATTCTTTTATGCCCTTTTGTATCCAAACAAGCATTTGGGCTTCAGCCTAAGTGACAAATGTAATCTTTGCCTAAGCCTGAAACATTCTGCTTCCCGTCTCTTCTCTGTTGTGCTAGATGTTGCAGAGAGTGATGGAGGGATATATTCCTGCAATCTTCACCATCACTACTGCCACTTATATGAAACTGTGAAAATCCAGCTGGATATCACCAAAAAAGGTAGGTGTGGTAAGCAGCAAATAGCCTGTTTGTGTAGCCTGTCCCCAGTTGGGACTCCAGGGCCATCAGGGCTGTGTTAATTCACAGGGTGCCTTGATTGCTGATTCGGGCAGGCCTTGCTGTCCTGCAGTGTCCAAGCCGAGCAGTGTGGATTTAGGGTCCTGCTCAGGTTTTCTCAGCTGCAGGTCCAGGCCACAGGTGCTGCAAGAATCCTGTGATGTGTCAGGGGACAGTGGTGCTCACGAGGTGCTGTCTGCAATCAGACTCACCGAATTTCAGAAGCTTATTTGATGTGTCTATGAACCTCACTTCTTTCTCCTGGCCTGTGCCATGCAGTGCAAAGAGGCCTTTAATTTAAATGCCTAAAGTGGGTAGCCTGGTTAGTCTGTTATTGCTGCAGCAGTAAAATATCACTCGCAACATGGGTCACCAGTGGGGTTAGCCCCAGAGATCTCCTCGTAGGTCCCTGCCCTTAGCCCTGGAGCTAAGGAAAGGTGCAGAGGTGGCTGCGCCTCGGCTTCAGCTCTGGCCCTGAGCTTTAGCAGCTCATCTAGATCAACCTTCACGTGCTGGGGAGCTGAAGGGCTGAGCAGCCCAAGAGCAGAGCAGAAGTGTTGCTGCTGCTGCTGTTCTGACAGCATCGCTGCAAAAAACACCCAGCCCGGCCTGCGAGCCTCGTTCTGCTCATTGATGTTTTGGTTCTTTTATTAATCCTCCGCAAGACCAGAATGCAGAACCGTGCTCCTGGGCTCCTCCAGCACTTGGAGCATTTGTGGGCAGAAAAGCATTTCCTGTACAGAGCCTGCGTAAGCTGTCTGGGCAACTGGGACGCACAGAATCCTGGAGCTGAAATCTGTTATTCTCATTCCGTGCTTAGTCTGGACAGAAAACACTTCCTGCTTGCTGAAGCTGGAGACAAACCCCAGTCATAAAGATGGTCTGTTCAGTTCCCTGATCTAGGATGGGGAAGATCTATGTGTGTTTCCTTCTATACTAACCACGGAATTGAGTGTGAACAGAGCATGTCCCCCCTTGGAGATCTCTGGTGGGGATGTGCTGTGGGAGCGCAGGCTGGAGAGCAGCCTCAGCTGGGTCTTGGTGTCCCTAAGCAGAGGGCACGCGTGTGGGGGCAGAGGGCACGCGTGTGGGGCTGCGTGTACCCAGGTAGCACTCGCTGTCTCACAGGCAAGGAGGCCAAGCAGTACTGGGACGGGGAGAAGGCCGTGCTCGTGGCCCTGCAGGGCAGCACCGTGACGCTGCCCTGCGTGAACCGCAACCACATCTGGACGGAGCGGCACAGCGAGGAGGAGCAGCAGGTGGTTCACTGGGACAGGCAGCCCCCGGGGGTGCCCCACGACCGCGCCGACCGCCTCATCGACCTGTATGCGTCCGGCGAGCGCCGCTCCTACGGGCCGCTCTTCGTGCGCCGCAAGATGAACATCACGGACACGGCCTTCGCCGTGGGCGACTTCTCCCTGCGCATCTCGGAGCTGGAGAGCGCCGACGAGGGCACCTACTCCTGCCACCTGCACCATCACTACTGCGGCCTGCACGAGCGCAGGATCTACCAGGTCTCTGTGACAGAACCAGTGAGGGAGAAGAAGGTGGTGAACCTCACCACCCACAACACGGCCCCGGCCGTAGGTGAGTGCCCTGGGAAGTGGCTGTGCTGCCTGGGGAAGAGATGAGTGTTTGTGGTTGCACCTTTGAGCAAGGTGTAAGGGCTCGGTTGTTTCTGGGCTGCTTCCGCTACTGGAATTGGAGCCGCAGGTCTGGAGAGGCCAGTAAGGATCCTGCAGAGCTGCATTAACGCTTTGTGCCACCAGAAGTGGAGTGTCCCCCCATCAGGAGGGGCAGCACGGACATCCCGTCCTGCCCTGGCTCTGCTGCGCGGGGGCTCTGCAGCCTGCTCCGCTCTGCCACGCTGACCTGCCCGAGGAAACAAACTGGTTTTCCAGCAGCCTCACTCTTCTGATGGCCTCTGTGGACCTGGAGAGGGCAGGAGGTGGAGAGGGAGCTGATTCTGCCTTTGCTGTTCCATCGTGCCCCTATTTTCACCTGTGCAGAGCGTCTGGGGTCCGTGCAGTACAAGGTGCCAAACTGCAGAATCCAGCACCAGGAATTTTCCTCTGCCCTTCAGCTTTTTTTATTTCTTGCCTTTTTTTTTTTTTTTCTTAAAAAAAGCTTTTCACATTTTCCACTGCAGTGAGTTGTCATCTGACAGCCTGCCCAAACCCCAACCAGCATACTCAACTTGGGCAGAACACTAAAATAAAAATCCGCTATTTAATAATGCTTTAGTCTTCTGGGTATTGTTCCTTATTAACATTTTAAGATATTCATTGTGGTTTAATATTTATTGGCTGCTTTCTGCAAGGTTTTGACATGGTTCGTACATTTTTAAATAGGTCTATTGTGCTTTAGCAACTGGCTTTTTCAAGTCACAGAAACCTACACTTCCCTGCTGAGCCCGAGATCGGGGTCCAGAAAGCGCAGGCGGAGGAGCGGGGCTGCTGGCACGAGCTGACACACAGGCCAGGACAAACAGGATTAAGTCTTTCGACCAGGTGCTGTTTTGCTGCCCGTGAGCCTTATTCAGGTCACATCGTGGAAGTGGAAACTGCCTCTGGTTTCAGAGTTGCCTGTCCAGGAATCTTTTTTGGTCTTTCCTTGCAGTTACCTATTTGTTGCTGATCAGTTATCTGCTTGCTCAGGTGGTGGTCAGAACCTACACTGATTTACTCCAGACCTCAGTCCCACATTAGTGCCCAGCTCCCGGGATTCCTGTAGTGTTAATGTTGCTGCTCTGGTGGCAGAGGTCAGGCTCTGCCTGTTGACGTTGTTCTCCTGTATTCCCTCTGCTGTGTGTCCTGCTGTTGTCTCGTGTCACTTCGTGGTGCTGGTCTCGTTTCAGAGATGTTCTAGCACTAGCTAAAAAGAGGCAGCTTCAGTTCAATATGGTCAGGGGGCACCTTCCTTTAGGTTGGTCACATTGGTCTCTTATGGTCCCTGTTAAAAGATGATCAGCTCTGTTCCCTCTGAAATAAATGGCAGAATTGCTGGTGATTGCAACTGAGGAAAGATTTGATTAAGAATGAACCTTTTTTTCCTGTATGATGTGAGGAAAATATGAAATGGAAGTTTCTCAGCAGCTTTCCATCCTCCTTCGACTGGGTTTTGATCAGGCTTTTGGCATCCCAGGGCCTGGTCTGGACACTTTTGATAGTGCAGTTTGGATCCACAGCCCTGACAGGCCATGCTTGAAGCAAAGCAAGTATTTTCCATTGCCAAACAGAACAGCTTTAGAAAAGCTCTGTCCCCAGGGAGCAGTGAACACTCAGTTGGTCTGAGAAAATGTGCTGAGCTGATGGGAATGTGAAAGCAGCTGAGATGTGGAGTGCCTGTTTTGAACCCTTCACTGCTGAGCAGCTGGCTGGAACAGACCCCATTTCACCTAGTGGGAAGGGTTGAGATCCTGCTCCATTCCCTGAAAAGCTGTATAGAACTTTTCTGGGGAAATAACCAAAATAAAACACATACAAGTATTTCTGGTGTGCAGGTTGGCTAGCTGAGATACAGACCAGCCAGCTGATTTCTTGCCCCATCTAATACCATCTAATACCATCTAAATCCTGGTCCGTAGTAAGGGAGTTAGCTGCAGTTCTGTCAGAACAAGTGCAAAATTGGCCTAGAGAAGCCGTTTTCATTAGACCCAACCCCTGAGCAATGGATAGTGCCAACTGCAGCACCCTGGTTGTGCCAGCTCCTACCACTGCATGTGACTTGCAGCTGTAGGATCCTAAACATGTTTTCTAGCTCATGTGCAATATTATCTCTTTCTAGAACAGTCCTGGTTTGCATTTCGTGCCATCGTTTCTCAGTGCTCGGACTATTTGCTTTGAAACGGGGTGATTTGGAGCCTGGAACCCACGATTCCAGGCTGCTCACACGTGTCTTTAGGGCACGGGTGCTAAATCATATTGTGGTTCTAAGTATCTGCTACCATCTTTTTCCCTTATTCCCTCTAATTTGTGGGAATTAAACTCCCCAGAAAACGGTGGGTGCTTGCTGGGGCTCTATGAATGTTCCCTGCTAGGAGGAGAGGGTGTCACTTCCAACTCTGTTTTGAACAGGAAAACTTACTGCAGCACAATGTCCCACGGGTTTGCTGTCCGTGTCTGGGCTGGATCTGTCCCTCTGTCACTGCTGCAAGCAGAGAAGTTGCTTCTCCTTTTTATGTGTAAAACATTGACCTATTTATTTTAGATCTACAAAAATGCTCCACGTAAAAGTTTTGAGTTACCATTCCCTATGCTGAGGAACTGAAATGCTGCTGCACCCATAAATGGAATGGAGTCTTGGCTTTTCTTTGAGTTTAGATTTTATTTATTTTATACTTTTTATTTTATTTAAAAGGAAATTCATTCTCTGGCACTGAAAATGCCTCCTACTCTGTAAACGATACCCCTTGGCAGGGAGAGGCTGCTTCATACTTCAGCTGTCTGGAACTGCAGCAACATCGTGCGCCTGTTTAAGGGACCCGCAGGAGGGCTGTTACCCTGCACAGAGACGTGGGGCTGTTTGTGGTGTGGATTCTGTCCACACCACCGTGGACAAGAACAGCACGTTGGCATTAAGTGGGACCCTGCTTTGCTTTGGATGCCAGTTACAATTGTCAACCTGTTTTTATTTTTATTTTCTCTTCCTTGGCAACCAGATCCAAGCGTTGTCAGAGGCCACAACGTGATAAATGTCATCATTCCTGAAAGCCGGATACACTTCTTCCAGCAGCTGGGCTACATCCTGGCGACTCTGCTGCTCTTCCTTGTCCTCCTCATCATAGTTGTCCTCGTCACCCGCAAGCGCCGGCAGAGAGGTAAGCGCTGGAAAGAGCAGAGTGGACTTAACCTGCGGAATATCCTCAGGATGGGGGAGCTGATCCTGCAAATAATCCCTGCAGAGCCCAGTGCTGAAGGCAGTGATCCCCTCTGTAAAACCAGCAGCCTTCAAAGTGGGGGAGTCTGCAGCAGCTCATCTGAAGAGTTCTTCATTAGTATGTTGTAGGCCTTGATTTGCTGAATTGTTCTGGCATAAGGGAGAATATATATTAGAACCACCGGATAGTTGCTCTTTGCAGGTGGAATTCACCCAAGGAGAAGGCCCGTGTGCATTTCTTGGGGACTGAGAGGTTTGGGTCTTTGTTGGCTCTGCTGCACTGGGGTGAAACTCTGTGTTTGTGGTGAGAAAGTGGATGCTGAGACCTTTTGGTGCCTTCCACACAAACAGCTCTGGATACCAAAGGAAAGTGAACACGAGGCAATGCCTGTCTTGTGTTGAGTCCTTTTGCATGAGGGCAGATTTCTGGCCCTGATCTTGCCATGGAAAAGGAGCTGGCAATTGTCACCCCTTGCTGGGTCGCGTAAGACCAGTAATTAGAAACCTGGCACTTCATCCCTGCTCGTCTTGGGTTACGTGGACTGGATACAGCTGCTCAATTCTGTTTCTTCTCCCTGTCTAGGTTATGAATACAATGTGAAGAAATATGGAGAGTAAGTATAATTACAGCAGCTATTATCTATGCCTAGAATACTTAATAACATTGAACCTAGGGGCCCCGAGCCTCAGCTAGTGCTCTGTTCTAGAGCACAGCCATGTAAAACGTTCGTGTTTCATGCAGTTTATTCAGTGCTTTGCAGCTATACCCTGTAGTCATTTTTAGCATAATGCTCCCCAAGCTCCACACTTGCCTAATGGTTATGTATTAGGGAGTAACTAGAAGTAGCACTAGAAAAGCTATTAAGAAAAAGTGTAGAAGGAGCTAGATATTAGAGGATGTACAATGCCATTTTTTCTCCATTATTTCTTTTGCAGGAAGGATGTAAATCTTAAAGAATTTACAGTGGACACAACAGATCTGACTCAATACAAAAGCGAAGACATCAGGCTGGGTATGTATCGGCTAGCAGCCATTCTCCAAGTCGCATCAGAACTCATTATCAATGAGGATCTCCTACTAGCATTTAGATATCCAGTTTGATATGTAACTTCTTGGGTATAAATTGTAGCTTTGAGAATTTTAACCCCCAAGTCAGTGCAAACAGGAGCTTCAGTTATACGGGACAATCCTGAGTTTTGGGATAAGCTTGAGGCTTATTGAGCAGTAACAAGATGCAACTTGTTTTTCCTGGTGTTTTTGGATTTCTTTGATAGCAACTCAAAGCTACATTTAAGTGAGTGCAAAGTGATGTGGAATGAGACCAAGACAGCATGTATGGAAGAAGAGCCCTCCCAATTAAGCAGTTTATGTAGGAAAGGGACTGCAAGACGCTTCTGTAGAATCTCTTGTCCAAGAAACAAGGGATTGCAGGGAGAGGTTGCAGACAAGGACAGCAGTATCAGGACAGCAATGACAAGTTCTTCTCTGTGTGCACTTCAGGAAAACTCTCCTGTGAACTAATCCTTGAGTAACTGCATCAGTAAAAGGCTTTTAGGTGATCTTCACCCAGGAAATCCAGCTTTTTATTACATTACATTTTTATTACAAGAATAATTGGTAGCAATGGGAAGCAGAAAACTAAAGTATGCATACCTGACTGGTGCCAGAGGAGAAAAGTGAAGTGGTGACACTTTCTGCTGAGTGGCTGAGTAACTGAGATGCCAGGCCTAGAGCCCCTCGGGGAAGGACTGATCAGATGTCCCCCTTTGCAGCAAAGCTTTGTTTCCTTTTAATGTTCTGATCCTTCTGAATTGCCCTTGCACAGATTACAAAAACAATATCCTGAAGGAGAAGGCTGAGCAAGCCAGAAGCTTCCCAGCAAAGATCATCGACTTAGACAAAGGTACTAAGGACCTGCTCCACCCGGGCTGGGGTTGTGGAAACCTTCGGCTGGGTTCTGGGAGGGAGGACACGAGACAGCAGCGAGCCGACCAAGCCACAGTCAAGTGAGGAATGTATAAACAGCTTGACAGATGGTAGCCGGAATGAGAAGCCAGTTCCCTTCCTGCCCTTTCATCATGAAGCCACAAGATGCAAGTAGTGATTAGGTTTTTAAAGGCTTTTGGCAGGGCACGAGCAGATTTTTTTTTTTTTTTTCTTTTGAAAAAGAGTGCCCAGCAGGGCTGGAATAGTGCACCCTGTTGTACAACCACAGAGGGGGCTCTAACTCAGAAGAAAACTCCAGTGGAACTGGGGAAGAAAACGGGGTGTGGAAGCGAATGCTTTAGACTGAATTCCAGTGTGGGCAATGGAGAGTCACTTGGCCAAGAAAAGCAAACAGCTCTCCCTCCCCAGGAGCTGTCCCCTGTTGTGTATCCAGTATTAATCCAGAGTTTCTAAAACCCTGCAGTTTGCAGGGCTGCACTTTATGAAAAGTCAATTCCTGAAAGAAGAGAATTTGGTTTCATGTATCCTGTCACATGGATTTAGAATGTAGTTGATGTAACCAAAAAGATGGTCTGGAGAGTTCAAGTGTTCCCTTAGATCTGCTGTTCTTGCTGGAGCTCATGACTTTTGGCTAGAATCTGTGGAGATGATCTGGGCAATAATTTATACACCTCACTGTGGGCTTTGTGAAGAGGATCATGGAAATGTGGTTGATTGCAGATGATTGTTTGTCACTATAACTAAATCCATGTCAGTGTGTTGCTTTCTGTGGCTTGAATTCTCTCTCCAGGTGCTAACCTCCAATCTACTTTTTCTTTCAGATTTCAGGAAGGAATATTGTAAATGAAGACATTCCAAAGCTGCTGGCTGGACCAGAAGCTGCAATCAAAGACAGATAAATGGAAAAGAGATGCCTTTTCTTATTGCCATGTCCTTCCAGTTACCTTAAAGTTTTCACGTAGACTTTGCCCCCACTGAGCACCAGGGTATTTGCAAAAGCTTCCTGAAAGAGTTAGACCATCTGTCTTATATGCACTTAGGATGGGTTTTGGTGGCCTTTTCTTCTTTTGTCCTCTCCTGCCACACACACACACACACACACACACACACACACACTTACTTTTCTTTGTGATATTGTTGTTCTTATGCATCAATGACTTTTATGAGCTGAATCAGCAGACATTTTGCTTTTAAATAAACCAAACCTGCACCACAACCCTGAGCCATCATTATATCAGGCATTTTTCCATGTAGTGTGTTCATCAGAAAAATAGTAGCAAGGCCTGACTGTGATCTCCATACGCTGGCGTAAATCAGGAGGAGCAATACTGTCACTTAGCACTTTAATCCAGGTAAGGTACCAACAGTCTCTAACTCGCCCCTTTACAAAGGACAATGTAAATGTTCTCATTTTACGAATGGGGAAATGTAAATAGTCTCATTTTGGAGGGGAGAGGGACTCCAATCTATCTACTTGCCACCATCATATGGTAGTGTTGACTTGAGCTCCAAAGAGCTCTTGAGGCATAACCCTGTATTTCTCATTTTAAGCTTGTCTGATGGTTTGTTTTTTGTTTCACGGCAGCCCAAATTATATTTGGCATGAGCAGACACTTTCAGCTGAAGTTAAAGGAGTTACATTGGTGCAATACGAGTGTCAGTTAGATCAGAACCAAAAAGCTCTTTCTGGAGAGGACTGAACTCCTCTGTGGAATGTAGAGTGGGATTTTCCTGAAGTCCTTGTATGGATCCTGCTCACACTGTGCATGCACATCAGAAGAAAGGTATAACCACAGCACAGATAGATTGTTAAAAGGAAAAAAGATGTTTTAAAGGAAAAACCTAGCAAGGGCAGACCATGACAAGCAAGAGTATCAACACACTCCACCAAAGAGCTTATTGGGCCTCTTCAGAGGGAGAGCTGAGGAGAGACTCATGGTGCAGCTTCTGGCACTGCTTTGGCATTGTTTTGGGAAGCAGATGCCTGAGATGAGGGGTTCGAGAGTTGAAGGGGAGTTATCAAATGAACAAGAGATGCTTGAGTCTACGGGGCTGTGGGTGAAGGCGAGTTAAACAAACGAACAGTGGGTCCAAAACTTGAAAAATGAGAATTCACTGTTGCAATTCAAGCGAGTTAAAGTATCAGAAAAGCCAGAAAATACAGAAAACGGTTAGAGAAAATCAGAGTTCTGCACAGGCTCCTGCTTTCCTTCCCTCATGCAGGAGCAGACGGCCCTTCCGAGGCCGCCCTTGGCTGGGGCCGGGGGCACTCCTGCAGGGGG